GTTACTGGCCTGTTGGACTTCCCCATCCTGCTTGGAAAAAAAGGTAGGAAATCAGCCGGAATGCTGTTTCCTTGAATCTGCTTAGGCAGCACGTTGTAACTTTAAAAAAAACACGGGTTTCCTCGTTCCAGAGGTAGAAAGGAGAAAGAGAGAGAGAGAGAAAAAAGAAGAGTTGACTCTCCGTTCAACGGAGAAACAGGTTGGGTGGGAAATGCAGGTTGGACACAGCAACCCAGTCCAGGTAAATCATTGGTTTGAAATAGCTGGAGAGTTAAACGCACCGTGGATCCTGTTGAGGTCAGGAAAAGGGCTGTGCTCCGTGAAGCCGGACGAGGAGGAGTGGGAAACAGCACTTTTCGACCGACCGGGCTTATATGTGAATTGCTGAACCAGGTTACTGAAAGACTCCGTGGTGTCCGCGTATAATGTCCTACGCTTGGTGAGTATGTCGTTCGGTTAGGGTTTGGGAGGCGGCTGAAGGTATTGTGCGAACCCCCACCAATGGATTCATTCAGGAATGGAGCCTGTTGTGAGAACGCCCACAGCGGTTTCGGATGGGTTAGCCTGCAAGAGTCAAAGAAAGAACTGTTCTCCTTGATGTAAGAAGCGTGTTGTCTGAATATACCTGGAAGAAGAGGGGTGGGCGGGGGGGCGGCCCTAGAGAGCTTGTCTTTTGTCGTGTGCAATTTTGCATGGGTTTTGAAAATGAAAAGTTAACAGCTGTTCTTCCTGGAGGGAACAAATATTTGCATTTTGGGGGGAAGTTGCAGGCTTCATCAGGTTTCGCCTCTTCTGCCACTGAATATCTAAAGCTTATCAAATGTGAGAAGCGAGGTGGGTGGGTGTTTTAGAGCCTTTGGCTAGGTGAAGGTACGCCCCCTGAGAGGAACTGAAGAAATTATCATTTTTTTTCTTGAAATACAGTCTTGGATTTGGCCAGATAGAATTGGCTCATGGAATCATTAGATGACTCCTGATTTTATTCCAGGGGATGATTTGTCAAAATAATAATAATAATAATAATAATAATAATAATAATAATAATAATAATAATAATAATAATAATAATAATAATAATAATAATAATAATAATAATAATAATAAACAACCCTGAGAGGGACGGGCCCCAAATCACCCAGCTGATGGCTTTCAGGGCTCAGGTGGAACTAGAACTCCTGGTCGCCTGGTGATTGGCCCAAAGTCTACCCGTTATCTTTCATGCCTAAAATGGGACTAGAACTCACCATTTCCTGGTGATTGGCCCAAAGGCAGCTAGCTAGTTTTCATGGCTAAGGTGGCACTTGTACCCACATCTCTTGGATTCTAGACTGGTGCCTTAACCACTAGATCAAACTGGTTTGCTTGCCTTTGGGTTGTTCTGCTGAGGTGCATGCCTTGCACAAACGCATCGCTTGTTGGAATACAGTAAATGACCATGGTTGGGTTTCTTTATAGGTTGTATTAAGGTGTCTTTGGGGCATTCTTTCTTCCCAAGAACTTCAGGGGTACAGCAGAGTAGTGGCATGCCTATCATTGGGACCAGCTTCCTTTTCCTTCTTCGGGTTTATTTCTTTCATAACTCTCGAATTCCGAGAAGCGAGAAGTCCATATCTCCGTATCCTGCTTCTCTCCCCTCCGATCATTTTAAAACCGGGGGTTTGTTTAACAATCCTGCAGTTGCTGGAAGGAAGGATTTATTAGGGAAGCCGAAATGTGTGGAGTCAGCAGGAGTCTTGGTAGTGCAAAAACCTCCTTTCCAGGCGGACCTGCCAAAGGCACGAAACAGTTGCCCAGGAAAACGGCTGACCCTTCCTGGAGTTGTAAATTGATTTTAATTTTAATTAATGTATTTGATTTATCAATCGCTTACAAGATAACAGGCATAACTATAAACATAGTTATGGATACATGAAATGGATTCATATAAGAAAAGTAAAAGAAACAATAGGACAGGGACGGTAGGCACATTGGTGCGCTTATGCACACCCCCTACAGATCTTTTAGGAAGGGGGTGAGGTCAATAGTAGACAGTCTAAGGTTAAAATTTTGGGGGTTTGGGGAAGAAACCATAGAGTCAGGTAGAGTATTCCAGACATTGACCACGCTGTTGCTGAAGTCGTATTTCCTGCAATCGAGTTTGGTGCGGTTTACCTTGAGTTTGTATTTATTGTGTGCTCTTGTATTGTTATGGTTGAAGCTGAAGTATTCATTGACAGGTAGGACATTGCAATGTATAATTTTATATACTATACTTAGATCGGACTGAAGGCGGCATAGTTCTAGGTTTTCTAGGTCTAGAATTTCAAGTCTGGTGGCATAAGGTATTCTGCAATGAGTAGAGGAGTGGAGAACTCTTCTTGTGAAATATTTCTGGACTTTCTCAACTGTGTTAATATCAGATACGTAATGCGGGTTCCAGACTGATGAGCTGTATTCGAGTATTGCTCTAGCAAATGTTTTGTATGCTGTAGTTAGTAGAGTGATATTACCAGTAAATGGAGGAGCTTGGGGTCAAAGGTGTGTTAGCTAGACAGTTCAACCTCTCTCCAGCCTCCCAGGATTCTGGGAGTTGACGTCTACACATCTTTGAATGGCCAAGTTTGGACCACACTGGTCTAAACCAAAATGGTCAGCAGTTCTTAGTCGTGTGGCATCTTGCTATCTCCAGGATCTAAAATGAGAATCTTGTCACCATCCTAATACCCCTTGCTGGAGAAAGTGTTCGTGCTTTCTCCTCTGCCTTGAAAACATCACAACATGGTTTGGCTGCCCCGTTGAGGGATTTGAGATCCCAGTTCTCTTTCCAAGCAATGTTTGTTTCCGGCCGGTTGACTTTATGGCAAGCTTTCTGCATTGCGTCTTGGAATGGGGCCAAAGCAACCCAGAAGCGGTCCTTCTAAAGACAAGATGTGGCCAATGCACAGTTGGGCCCAGAGCATCCACTTTGAAAGTGTCACATTGGACATTGCTCTGAGGCTCTGCATGTCACTGTCTCAAATAGAATGGAGAGTTGGACGGCCAAAGAAGCAAATCCCAGGGAGCCATGTCTTCCTTATCTACTTTTTTCTTTAGCATGTTAAAAGAGTTTATTGTAACAAAAAAGAAGAGCCAACGTAGCTTTGGAAACTCTCTTTCTTTCTTTCTTTCTTTCTTTCTTTCTTTCTTTCTTTCTTTCTTTCTTTCTTTCTTTCTTTCTTTCTTTCTTTCCTTCCTTCCTTCCTTCCTTCCTTCCTTCCTTCCTTCCTTCCTTCCTTCCTCCCTCCCTCCCTCCCTCCTTCAACTCTTTCCTCCCTCTTTCCTTCTTTCCCCCCTCCCTCCTTCAGCTTTCCTCTCTCCTTTCCTCTTCTTTCTTCCCTCCCTCCCTCCTTCCCTCTTTTTTCCTTTCCTTTTTTTTCTTTCTTTTTTTCCTCCCTCCCTCCTGAACTCTCTGTGGAACCCAAAAAAGTATTTTAACAAATAATTGATCTGCCAGGATCCAGGACAGAAGTTACAGCGAAACATGGGTGTGCACAATCTTTTGGAGCAGAACGCTATCCAGCCAGCTGGGCCCCCTTTTTAGAATACAAATAGTCCTCATTGAACCATCGGAAATCCCTATGAGCTGTTATCTTTCACTTGCTGGATTTTCTCCCTCCAATTGACCGTTGAACATGTGACTTCCAGTTGGTCAACATTGGCTCCCAAGCGAGTGGTCTTACTAACCTTTAAGTAGACTTCTCTGCTTTATTTTTAAGGCAGCCCTTCTCTGAACCCGATAAGGATGTTTGGTTTGGTTTAGCTTGGGTTTTCTCCCAGGGGTCCTTCAAAAGTCATTGGCAAGATTTTTTTCGTACCTAATCGGGCGCAATAAGGTTATTTTTGAGATTGTTTCTATAGTATTGGGAAGAAATGCCTCTGAATTTCTTGTTTGTGTATAATTTTATTTAAAATGCTTTTAAAAAGAACATCAAAATGAATGCAAAGTAATTCAAAAAAAATCAAAGAGAAAGGTAAAAGTTCAAGAAAGGGGAGAAAATAAAAAAGAAATAGAAAAGAAATTAAAAAATTAGAAGCAGCTTCTGATCTTCTTTATAGCTGTTAAAAATACAATTATAAATGTACCCGTGATTACAACATAACTGTCTTCTTTTTATAATCTGTCCTCTCTATTCATCGCAAACATAAATCGTAATTTCTTTTTTGTTTCCTGCAAAAAAATCTACAAGGGGGGCTTCCAGTCGCTAATAAACTTTGATAATTGTCTTTTCTCTGATCAAAGAAATAAAATCTAACCATCTTAGGAAGTTCCATCATTTTCACCCATCATTCCTCTTGCTGTGCACGATGCCAGATCTTTCCATTTTGTACAATAATCTCACTGCAGTTGCCATCTATAAAAAAACAAAACTCAGTGACTTTTTTCCCCTAACCGTTTGCCCATCAATCCCAAAAGAAAAAAAAATTCTCTGGTTTCAATTGTATATTCATCTTTAAAGTCCTCTGAATCAGTACTCCATGTGCTCCATGTTAAAAGAGTCATCCAGTCTGTTGTGTTTGATACAGTCTGTCAGGATTCCAGCAATCGCCCTAATTAAATCAAGATTCTCGAGACAAACTTCAACCGACTTCAAAGGATTCATTAGAGGCGACATACTGGCACTGCCCTATATGAAGCCAACTCTGGCATACGTAATTCACAGTCCCCTGTGACCCTGTTTCTCCCCCGCATCCCTGGCTGGGTGTGTCATAAATCAGATTCTCCAACTGAGTACATTCACAGGCTGGGTTTCTTCCTTCACGTTCTCCAATTAAACATATTTGTGGGCAAAAGTTCTGGTAGCTTAGTTACAATCTTTTAAAGATGAAGAGTTTGAATGTACTTCCGCTTTCCTGCACTGCTCTTCCAGATTTCCTTCCTCCCCCCCCCCTTTTAATGGCAACTACTAAAACAGGCATAGGAATGTTTTATGAGTTAACACAGTCTTTTCATCAATATCTGTTTCTCTTTTTGCCTTCCGTAGGCCAATGAGGTGACCGACAGTGCGTATATGGGCTCAGAGAGCACCTACAGCGAGTGCGAGACCTTCACGGATGAGGACACCAGCACGCTGGTCCATCATGAGATGCACGACGAAGTCGAGACGGACAGTGCGGTCGATTCCACGGTGCATTCGGAAATCATGGAGCCGGAGGAAACGGAGAATGGGTATTTATTGACTTGTTATTGGAAAGACTTATACGGTCACCCATCTTTCAGCCAACTCTGGGCAGCTCCCAAAGATTTAAAAAAAAACAAAAACCCAACCATATTTTTATATGGAGAAATTTCCCGAGAGTGAGAACAATTAGTGGTAGGGCTTCCCTCTAGAAGTTGTGGGTGCTGCATCACTGGTGTTTTCACTGGACAGAATAATATTAGATCTGCTGCTTGAACAAGGGGTTAGACTAGAAGACCCCTGTGATGACCCAAAGGGGCGTGGCACAAAGGCAACACAGTCACATAAGTAAGAAAAGTCCCTTTAGTACCTCCAACTTTGCCCCCAGTGTCCAGGTTACCTTCGGCTGGAGAAAAATCTCTCCCAAGAGTTGAGAAGGAGAGAGAGTCTTTAAGTGGAGGAAATTCAGTCCGAAAATAAAGTGCATACAAACTGTAAATAAAAATCCACACAAACCACGCTGCAGCAATTAACTTGACAGGGCAGGATAAGGAATTGCAGACTTCAAAGGCCAACAAAACATACACAGTTGGTGAAACAGCTAAGCCTCGACAAACAAAGATAACTCACGGTTTGCTTCTAGCAACTTTGCTGTGCGTAGCTTGCCTTTTTAAACACTGCTTTCCCAGTTGCAGCTAATGAAGGGAATCAGGGCCCTTTCCTCCCCCATAAGCCCTGCAATTCACATTGCTCTCTTCTCTGTTCCTCCCTGATGTGCCGTAGGATGAAGACCGGGTGGGCCTGGGTCTTCCACTGAACTCCCTCTCCCTTGTTCTACCTCTTCCCTGCTCTGCCCAGCTGGACTTTGCCCTTCCCCAGTTTCCTCCACACTCCCACTCCCTGTCATCTGTTCGTCTTCCTCCTCGGATTCAGTCTCTGACAGGGGCAGGACACATCCCCAAGGTTCCTTCCAACTCTGTTTTTCTGTATTCTGTATTTTGAAACTATACAACTCAAGTGATTAAAATATTGTGAGCTACAAGGTGTAGGCGGGGAGGAGTTATTCCTTTTCTTCTCCTTTCCATCCAGCAATTGACTTGAGCGGGGGGGGGGGGGACTTTGATTCAAAGACAGAATCTCGCATTTATGGCCTTTGCTGTGTTCCAGGGTCATACCAGCCTGTGGCATGTGGCAAAATTGGATCGGTCACACGGGTGATCTAATCTGCGACCTGTGATGTTCAGGCTCCGTTATGGTCGTAACTCAAGGGCTATGCTTTCAGACTTGCAAGAGTCTGTCAACGTAGCTTTACAATTAAGTAAAACTAACTCGATCTGGGTTGTTATTCTTGATCTGGTTTTACCCTGCCAGGCCCAAAACTCCTTCAAGCACCGTTGACCCTTACAGCACATTGATTCTCTGAGGAGAATCACCCGAAAGTGCCATGTTTTGATTTCATATTTTACCGATTTTATATTTACAAACATGAAAAGATTCACGTGTTTTCCTTCTCCCCTCACAACCAACCTGTGAGGTAGTTCTCCAGGAACCTCCATGCTTGAAGGTCCTTCTCCCTGCTGGTCACCCAACCTTCCACCACCCTACCCCCCCATTGCCTGGCCTGCTGTCTTCCAAGGGTTCAGAGAAAGCTCCAGAAGCCAAGCGGGACATTCCTTATTGGTTGCCCGGCGGGCTTAAGTTGTTGCTGATTCCTTTACTTGCCTCACTGAGCCCATAATCGGCTTTAGTGCAGGGAGGTCTTTTCCTTGTCCAGAGGCTGCCAGCTTAAAGTCTGTGGCAGACCTTCTCTTGGCAAAATACGGCCTTGGGGTACGGATGCTTTTCTGGGGAGGTAGGTATGGGCAGCTGGGTTTAGAGCTAAGATGGGGAGTGGGTGTCAACAGCTTCAAGCTGCTTTTGGCCTTGGGGGCCTCCAGTCCTTGCAAGATTCGCGGGTGACGAGCATCGTTGAATTTTCCAACACAAGGAAGAAACAAATCGGGCAGATTAGATAAAAGACCGTTCGTTTATTGCTAACTGGAAACCCTTGATGGACTTTTTTTTTTTTTTGCATAAAACAGAAAATAGCCGGGAGTTGGGACTTATAATCTACGGTTTTGACCCTTTAGATAAGATGGGGGATAAAAAGGAGGGAGTCAAGGGGTGGATTTAGAGAAAGGGGTAAATCTACAGTGGCACTTATAGCTGTGTTGTTTTTTAAAAAAAAATAATTCGGAAGCCTGTTCTTTAGACCTTTTTTTATTTCTCTGTCACTTTTTTTTCTTTTTGCACTTTAGTTTTTTCTCTTTTATGCTTGCCTTTTTCTTTCTTTTTTCTTTCTTTCCTACTCTAGTTTTGTTTGTTTTGTATGTGTTTTTTTGCACTTGCTTTTAAAACTTGAAAACTTTCAGGTGTGTCAGCCGAGAGGTGCGACTTCAATCGGAATGAAAGGGGGAGAGAAGCAAAGAGCTGGTGGGAAGGTATCTCAAGGTGGCACGGGGGGGGGGGGTCTGTTTATTTTGTGCGCCCCGTCGCCCTCCAAATGAAGGGGGACTAGGAGGTTGGGGAGTGTCAGGAACCACCACGGCGGGATTTGTGGTCCTCAGGATGCTCAACTGGGTTGTTGGGATTGGTGGGGAATGCCCTGCAGAGGACAGCCTCTGCATTAGGCGTTCTGGGTCGTGTAGTTTGCTGGAACCTCAGAGCCCGAATGATGCTTCTGATCCTCAGGAGAACTGTAAAAGCTTCCTGGGAATATTTGCTTTTTACGGATTCCTTGATTTTGTTTGGCTTCCTGCTTTGGTTGTTTTTATAAACAAGTCAAGGGGGTGAACATACCTAATGCTCTTTCCTCCTCCCGTTTTCCCCACAACACCAGCCCTGTGAGGTGGGCTGAAAAAGAGCGGCTGGCCTAAAGTCACCCAGCTGGTTTTCATGCCTAAGGCGGAACTAGAACTCGCAGTCTCCTGGTGATTGGCCCATAGTCACCCAGTTTATTTTCATGCCTAAGGCGGAACTAGAACTCACAGTCTCCTGGTGATTGGCCCAAAGTCACCCAGTTGATTTTCATGCCTAAGGCGGAACTAGAACTCACAGTCTCCTGGTGATTGGCCCAAAGTCACCCAGCTGGTTTTCATGCCTAAGGCGGAACTAGAACTCACAGGCTCCTGGTGATTGGCCCAAGGCCACCAAGCTGACTTTCAGGTCTAAGGCAGGACTAGAACTCACAGTCTCCTGGTTTTTAGCCTGGTGTCTTAATCACTAGACCAGACTGGCTCTCCATATCTACTATCTGTGATCTGTTATCTAATATCTATTAGCCTGGATGTACCAGTAAAGACAAAGTCCTATCTTAGTTGTCTCTTGTAAACAATCTCGCAGGGTTTTGTTTGGGGTTCTTTTTGCAATGATTTTTTTCCCCCTTTGACGGGTGAACTTTCTCCGTCATAGCTCTTTCTCTTTTTGTAATGCTTTGCGTTCTGACTGTCTTGCCTGTAAAGGACAATATTTATGTTCATAATGGACTGGAAGTCCCTTATAGACTTTTTTTGCAACAGGAAACAGGAAAAAAGGTGGTCGTGATTTATGGTTCTGATGAACAGGGAGGGAGGAGGAGAAAAGGATAATAGGAAAAAGAGAGCTTTTCTTTTTGCAAGCCTAGAGGGAGAGCTGTTTTTTAAATTGTATTTATATTTGCTGCAAAGAAATATTTATTTTTCATCCTTCAGGCCTTTTCTCATTCTCTGTTTTACCTTTATATTTGTTCTTGTTAGCTTTCATTTAAAAAAAAAAAACTTTTAATAAAAACAAATAAATAAAAACTGTCCGCGTAAGAAAGCTCCGGAAGGGGAATTGATTGAATTAGCTTTGGGTTTTGAAGGATGTTTGAAGCTTTTTGCAGCAGCAGTTGAAATTAAGAGTTCTTGTTTATTTTTCCTTTCTAACTTTCATCCTGAAAGAGGGAAGCTTGCTGGTGTCCTTTGAGACTGGAGTGGCCTCTCTAAGCCCTGCAAAATAAAGAATTTAAAATAAAAGCAAGCCAGCAATTGGACTTGAAGCTTCGTGTTCCCTCAGCAATGCAGTGATGGATGAAACGTTTTGGGGAAAAGAGTTGGCAGAAGGGCCTCCCAGGAGAGATTGCGGTGTTGTAGGACAAAGCCTGATCTGCGGCATAGCTGTTGGTTTGGATACGGGCATCGCTTCAATTTTGTGGGGCGTACAGGTGGTCCTCTGTTTAACGACCGCAATTGAGCCCAAAATGTACGTTGCTAAGTGATAAATTTGTTAAGTGAGTTTTGCCCCATTTTACCACTTTTCTTGCCACCATTGTTAAGTGAAACAACATTAGTGACACAGTTGTTAAGTAAATCTGGCTTCCTTATTGACTTCGCTTGTCGGAATGTCACACGGCACTGGGACCCTGCGACCATCATAAATACGAGTCAGTTGTCAAGCATCCAAATTTAAATCACTTGACCATGGGGATGCTGCAACGGTCATAAGGGTGAAATAGGGTCATGTCCCTTTTTTCAGTGCCGTTGTAACTTTGAACAGTCACTAAAGTGAACCTTTGTAAGTCAAAGACTACATGTACTCCAGCGGAAAAGGGGAGGCTTAATGATGTTGGAGAGGGTAAATCAACTCCGGTGGTTCGAGTTCTCGCTCTGCGTGGCAGGGTTAGCTCCTGTTACTTGCCTCAGCTTCGGTCCCCCTAACAGTTTGAAAGCCTGTTCTGTGCAAGTAGATAGATAGGTACCACTTTGGTGGTGAGGCGAGCTGGTGCTCTGTGCAGGCAGTCAGATTCCTGCTGGCTCTGAACCTTCCTTGTTACGGTGCCCATTTTCGAGGCCGCTCCAGGAAGGGAAAGGGGCCTTGGTGACGCTCGCCTTTCTTTCTAGTGTGAAACTAACTCACCTTCCTTTGGTGCACCTTGGGAAGCACGCATGTATGTCTTACAACATGGTACCTTGGCAAGCCAAGCTACCACTCTGCAACAGCACTGTGATCTCTTGGCTACTGTACCCATGCCGTACACTAATAACAATAATAACTGGAAAGGCATTTGGACAAGACAAGAGTTTCCCCCATTTGGCTCCGAAGCTCACCGTCATCTCAAGTGTACGGTTTCTATCATGCTCAGTTTGAAGACCAAAGATACGTCCCCACAGCCTCTTCTAAACTCGGTACCGGTAGTCAGCAGGTGACATTCTATCATCAGATGTCAAAATAAGAAGGAATATTGTACTTATTGATAAAGGAGAATATATGTAACTCAGGGTTGATCTGTGGGGTCCTCGGTACTCTCTGAGCTTGGTGGGTTTTTTCCCCCAGATGTTTCATTACCAAACTAGGTAACACCATCAGTGCTAGCGGTGCCAGCAGCATATCTGCAGTCTGTGACAAATGAGCTTCAGATCTCTCACATTATATTATCTCTTTTGTTTCCTACAGTCTTTTTTTACCCATCCATCTGGCCTTGACTATTTCCTCCTTCCTTAAACATTGTTTTAATTAGAAATTCTTGCGTTTGTTGATGTCCAGGAAGTGTTTTGAGATAATTCTTGTTTTGACAGTTCACTAAATATTCCTCGATGAGTCAGGGAATCCTTGCTGAAGCAGGAAAATGCTTTTCATCTCTCGGTCCAATCAAATCTAATTTGGTTCTCTAGAAGTAACTCTTCCTAAATTATAGTATAGACATATTTCTGATCGTTGTGTAATCAAACAGGCTGGTCTTAGAAGAAGCAATCGCTCCAATATAATGAAGATGTTTTTATTGATCATTTAATAATGCAGTACAAAGAACAGGCAAACATTTTTGATTGCTGCTCTCTGAAAATTGGATTTCTATCTACAGTAGGAAACTATAAATTGGAAATATCCAAGTAACAATGTAATATATCTGCCCAATAAGGTAAAATTTTGTTTTGTTTTGGTAAATGTGTGGTTGATATATAGTAGCTGGAAATATTTAGCTCTTGTAAACGTTTCTTCTATCTTTTTGTTATTTTGCCTGATGTCAGATAACTGTAGACGTGACTTTGCAATATTGTTTTCGTTGTCTACCAGTGTTGATAATTTGATCTTTACATTCTGAAATATTTTTTCCAATCCTTTTCCCTGAATTCTGCTGCCCCTGGGATTGGCCACATCTACGGAAATTACTCTTTTTAATAATCACTGTTGTTCACATAGCCAGCCATATTTTTAACTAGATTCAGCATTTTTGTCTACCTATTGAGTTTTTCCCAAGGATCCAGGAGAGGCAGGTGTTGTATGATGGTATTAGAGGTACCATTGCAGGATGTCATCTGTTTCGGAAAAAGCTGCCTTTTGAAATTGACTGATGTTGATTTCATCTTTGCCAATTATTATGGTTTGTCACACAACCAGCCAGATGTTTAGATCGGATTTGGCATTTTTATCCACCCATTGATTCCTTCTCAAGGACCTGAGATAGTCAGAGGTTGCTGTTTGATGGTGTTAAAAGTATTGTCGCAGGATGTTCCAAGCAAAGCTGCCTTTTGCAATTGACTGAGGGGGATTTTGTCAATGCCAAGGGTGCTCAAGGGCTGCTCCAGCTGTTTTGGGATTACACCCAAGGCGCCTATTATTATTGGTGCTATCTCTTTTGCCGCTGTTGTTCTACTTCTGTTTGTGAGTCTTTGCATTCTGTGATTTTTCTCCAGTTCTTTCTCTTCTATTCTGCCGTCTCCAAGTACTAACTACCGTGTCCACTATCCGGACTTTCTTTGGTTGTATCAACAATTGTTAACTCTCTGTTGTATTGTTCTTATTATTTCGATTATTGAAGTCCATTACATATATGACAAATGGGCAGAGGAGTACATACTGGAAACTTAATGTGCCACAAAGCAGTTCTATATACATGGTGTTGTTTTTTTAAGAGCAAATATTAAGTCAGTCTCTCTCTCTCTCTCTCTTCTCCCAAACCACCAAACAACATTTTTATGTCATACGGGGTTTTCAGTTTACTCCGCATTTTATTTGTAGGAGTTTACAGATTACAGATAATCAGAGTTGGAAGGGACCTTGTAGGTCATCTAGTCCAATCCCCCGCCCAAGTGGGAGACCCAACACTATTTCTGACAGATGGGAGCCCAATCTCTTCTTGAAGGTCTCAAGTGATGGTGCTCCCACAACTTCCAAGGGCAAAGCTGTTCCATTGGTTGATTGTTCTCACTGTCAGAAAGTTTCTCCTTATTTCTAGGTTGAATCTCCCCTTGTTCAGTTTCCATCCATTGTTCCTTGTCTGGCCTTCAGGTGCCTTGGAAAATAGCTTGACCCCCCTCTCCTCTCTGGGGCAGCCCCTCAAATATTGGAAGATTGCTCTCCTATCTCCCCTGGTCCTTCTCTTCCCTAGACTAGCCAGGCCCAATTCCTGTAACCGTTCTTCATATGTTTTAGTCTCCAGTCCCCTCATCATCCTGGTTGCTCTTCTCTGTACTATTTCTAGAGTCTCAACACCTTTTTTATAATGTGGTGACCAAAACTGGATGCAGTACTCTAGGTGTGGTCTTACTAAGGCTTTATAGAGTGGTATTAGTACTTCCCTTGATCTTGACTGTATCCCTCTGTTAATACAACTTAGGATTGCATTAGCTTTTTTGGCGGCGGCTGCGCACTGCTGGCTCATATTTAGCTGGTTGTCCTCGAAGACTCCAAGATCCCTCTCACGGTTACTGCTGTTGAGCCTGGTTTCACCCAGTCTATATATGTACTTTTGTTTTATTGGTTTGTTTTTATCTGTATCTTCGGGTAATGATCTCATCTGTTCTGGATGGAACTTTTAATCAGCATTGGGAGAATGGGAAGATGTTGGAATTTGTATCTCATTCTCCACATTTCCGGAGGATAACAAGACCATTTTGTCCGTTAATGCAAAAATAATGCAGACATTAGCATGTTTGGACTTATAGATAAACCAGTTTCCTGTTTTTGAATGGAGTAAAACTCAGAACCATGCAGCCTCAGGCACAGAGGCATTTTAAAAATTCTTTTTCATTCTGAATTTGAATTAGAAAAACTTCTGGAAAAGTTTTCTTGTACATCTAGAATTGATTCTACTATGAGAAATCTTCGCATACTGTATGAATTAGCAAATAGTGACTTAAGGCTTGGTGTGATGTATGAAACCAGCCAGTTGTGATTTAGACAAGAAAGCAATTGTTTTGTGTGATCTCTCAACCCATAAGAGGAAAGTATTTTGTTTCGCCTGGTGAAAAACTTGCTGTTTTGCACGTGCCAAACACCACAAACCACTTGCTATTCCAGAAGATATATATCTAGTTTTCTTCTGTAGCCTAGGGCTGTCTCCTTTGACTGGCACCAGAAAGACAGGCTGTTCCATTATTTATTTTTTTAAGTCCTTTTTATGTAGTAAATACCAGGAATCAAACCTGAGGCTTCGTACCACGTTCAGCTGGGCTGCTGCTTGTAAAATGCTACTGCTGGGATTAAAAAGAAGCACTTTAAAGCACATTTCACTGTAACGTGTACATGAAAGCGGCGAGGATTCAGCCCACATTGACGGTACAGTGTGGAACAACACACGGATTCTGCAAAGGGGGTTGTGTATTTTTAAGAGCTTCTTTCATTTTTAGAAAGAAAACTGCTGGAGGTAAATCCAAAGGGAGTGTCCTCCCTTCAAGCATTAGATCCTGGTCACATCAGATGTGCTGCACTGTTCATATTTTTCTTTTAACAAGATTCCGTGTCTTCGTTGGTTGTGGCCCAGCAGCCTTCGGTAAGGCGTTCAATAACCAGCACTTTGCTGCCAAGGTCACACTGAATCCCAGATTGCTGGAATGGTCTTTTCCAAATTGATCAACGCTTCTCAACTTTGGCAGCTTGAAAACGTGTGGGACTTCCAGCTGATTGGGGAAATACTGGGTGTTGAAGTCCACATGTCTTCGAGGTTAAGAAACATTGCCGTGTGGCAAAGAGCCGTGGTGGCGCAGTGTCTAGAATGCAATATTGTTAATTTAACTCTGCCCTTAGCCAGCAGTTTGATTCTCACTGGCTCAAGGTTTTGACTCAGCCTTCCATCCTTCCGAGGTAGGTAAAATGAAGAACCAGATTGTTGGGGGCAAGAGGCTGACTCTGTAAACTGCTTAGAGAAGGTTGGAAAGCGGTGTATAAGTCTAAGTTCTATTGCTAATGCTAGTGCTCTACTCCAGGGGTCTCCATCCTTGGCCACTTCAAGCCTGGTGGAATTCAACTCAAAATTCCCCAGCCAGCTTTGGAAGTTGAAGTCCACCAGGCTTAAAGTGGCCAAGGTTGGAGACTCCTGCTCTACACGAACCAGGATTAAACCTGGGAATTTAGAGATCTACACCTCCCTGTAGCTCATTAGTCCACGAAAAACACTGTTCAGTGTTGTGTCGGGTGATGGAATTAACAGAATCAGCCTCCCTGTCACGTCACAATGATGTAAACATTTTGCGAAGTACCGTGCCCTCTTCCCAATGCCCTCTCTTGATGCCTTGATCCTTCTTTTTTCCTCCAACAGATCCCACCCTCATGACTTGTCCTTGACCACCGATGTCAACAGCCACTCTATCGTCACTGTAATCAGTGGAGAGGAGCATTTTGAGGACTACGGAGAAGGGAATGAGGGGGACGTTTTCTCGGACAGCTTGTGCAATGGAGAAAGTGGCTTCAGTAGCTCGTCTTTCCTTTCTCCCAGGTATTATTAGCACATAAGGCATGAACCAGTGGCCTTCAGCTTTGCTTTCAGATCCAGTTAGGGTGGGGTTGTTGTTTTTTGACGCGCTCCCACATCACATCACACCAAAGAAGGCATCTTTAGGATAATCGAGAGGGAAAAGTTGTGTCTGTGTATTCATGTTTACATGTCGCCTGTGCTTATGACGTTTTCCTTAGTCCAAGAGAGAGAGAGAGTTTGCATGACTTCTGTTCAGAATCTGAAACAGACCCGGGGAAGTGGGATAATCTGGATTAGCCCAGCCTGGGGAAAATCCTCTTTTGATTTTTTAATCCTTCTCACTCCTGTGCTATAATCCAGCTGCAGTTACACTCCCCCCCAAAATTGATTGATCTCCTGGAATATATATTACCTCATGTGTGTGTGTGTGTGTTTTAGATCAGTAGTTCTCAGCCTTTACTTCACCACAGAGCCCTTTTAAATAACTTTTGTGACCACGGACCACCAAGACTTAACTCAAGATTTAAATCGTAACATTTCTTCAAGCCTTCGCAGTCCCGTGACAACATTACGGGGGGCCCTCCAGGAGTCCAGAGGCCACAAGTTGAGAACCACTGGTTTAGATACTTCATGAACTTTCTCTTGGTCTTGAGGCGGATCAGTAGATACATGAAATAAATGATGGGGACTTTAAACTATCTCAGTGCCTCAAACGGGGAGGAGTAATTCAGAATCTAACTTTAAAACATAGAGAAGCAACTGTGTGATCAAAATTGAGAAGACTTGGGAGAGCCAAATTCAGCCTTGGAGATCTCTCCTCCTCTTCATGTCATCAAGGCATGAGAATGAAGCCACTGTGCACCCAGCAACAAAGACGATAAGGGGTCTGGAGACTAAACCATATGATGAATGGTTAAGGGAACTTTAGGTATGTCTAATCTAATGGTGAGAAGAATTGAGGGTAGGGGGGAAGGCATGATAACTGCCTTCCAATTTGACTTGTCCTCCAAAGCACCAGAAGGCAGGACAAGAAGCAATGTGATGGAAGCTTGCTAAAGAGAGATCCAACTTAGAACTAAAGAAAAATTTCCTGACAGGGATAACAATTCGTCAATGGAACAGCTTGCATCCCAAAGTTGTGGGTGCTCCAGAATGATATAAGGACCCCTGCCTTGGGCAGGAGGTCGGACTAGAACAGGGGTCTCCAACCTTGGCAGCTTTAAGACTTGTGGACTTCAACTCCCAGAGTTCCTCAGGCTGAGGAACTCTGGGAGTTGAAGTCCACAAGTCTTAAAGCTGCCAAGGTTGGAGACCTCTGGACTAGAAGACTTCCAAGATCCCTTCTAGCCCTAGGATTTTATGATTCCTAGAAAAAAAGGCTTACTCAGAAACCAGGCCTTGTCCACACACTGTTTTCTCCAACGTGATGCCCACCAGACAACTTCAGTTTGAACCGACCCACAGCCGGGAAAAATCCAGGGGGGGAAGAAAGAAACCTCTGATTTCTATAGCAAAAGGTTTGTTGGGAGATAGGATTGGAAAAGTGGGTTGTGTTGCCCAGGGAGGAGTGTGAAATGCTTGGTTCCAAGGGTGTGAATCTCCTGCGGTTCGTAGGGATCAGTTTCTCTGCTGTGTTCAGTGGAAGGTGAGTGTTTTCTCTGGTGTCTGGTTCCTTCACAAAACAGTATGAATGAAGATCCCACGATTGATTTTTTTTGTTTTCCCAGCAGTTTGCCTGCTTAACTGCGTTGTTTGATGACTGCGGTTTTCACAATTAACCTTTCTTCGACTGAGCCTGTTGGCTTTCAGAAGTTTTATTTCCCTGGAAGGGAATGTCAGTCACAAGCCAGCTTTCAAAAATAATAATGCATCTTTTCTGTTTGTTTATTTTTTTAACACTGTCAGCACCAGCTATACTGATAATGCCCTGGGAAGACCACCCTTGGAGTACTGCATCCAATTTTGGTCACCACGATATAGGAAAGATGTTGAGATTCTGGGAAGAGTGCAGGGAAAGAGAGACAGGTGTGATTAGGGGGCTGGAGGCTAAAACATATGAAGGACGATTGCAGGAAGTGAGTAGGTCTAGTTTAACGAAAAGATGGACCAGTGGCATGAGAGGAGTCTTCCAGTGTTTGAGGGACTGCCACAAAGATTATGGGGGTCAACCTATTTTCCAAAGCACCTGAGGGCAGGACATGAAGCAACAGATGGAAACTAATCAACCTAAGAATCAACCTAGAACTAAGGAGGAATTTCCTGACCGTGAGAACCATTAACCAATGGAACAACTTGCCTCCCAGAAGTTGTGGATGCTCCCGGACTGGAGGTTTTGAAGGAGAGATTGCACAACCGCTTGTCTGAGATAGATTTAAAATTATGAGTTTGGTGGTCCCTGAGGTCCAAAAGGTTGCTGACCCCTGGCATAGGGTCTCCTGCTTGAGCAGGGGTTGGACTAGAAGACCTCCAAGTTCCTTTCCAACTCTCGTTATTCTGACATATAGATATTTCATGACCCAACTAAGCGTTACCTCGTTGGTTCATGAAACGTTGGCAAGGAAGCCACCAAGCTCAGAGAGCACCAAGGACCCCCCCCTGCACGCATAGTTTTCAAAAAAAATTCGTTTTTGGAAAAAAAAAAACTTCTGTAAGCCACCCAAGCTTGGCCTTGTACGTCCTTTTTGTGTGTGTAAAAGACCTCACTTAACGTGCACATGTGATTTCTCTAGCACCAACCCGCTTGCCACGAAACTGCACAGCATTATCACTGAGGAGGTGTTTGAGTTTTACTGTAGCCAGTGCCATAAACAGATCAACCGCCTGGAAGATCTTTCCGCCCGCCTCAGTGATCTTGAAATGAATAGGTAACCGGTTTGTGGCATGGCACTTCCTTTCTTAAAAGCATGAGCCGTGTGTGTAGTGCGTGGTGTTCTTTTTCATGTCGAGCATAAGTCCTTGCTTTTTGATACCTCAAAAGAAAAAAAATAAATTGCACGCCAGCAGATTTTCTTGAGCTGGCCTGAACGGTCGTTCTTTCTCTCGTATCTAAAATCTAAGAAAATTGAATCTTCATTGACATTCAGGGGTGTTAAACTCGATTTCATTGAGGGCCGCATCGGGGTGGTGTGTGACCTGGGGGTGCTGGGGGGTTGGGTGGGCGTGGCCAGCTCGATGTCGCTCATCGAGGCTCCGTTTTTGGCCACGATGGCCTCTTGCAGCCCTTTGCCAGCAAAAACGGAGCTCAGTGAAGCGGTGGGCAGCCTGCCCGGGCTCCGTTTTCACTGGCAGAGGCATCGCGGACTGGTCCTTTGCTATTTCCAGGGGGGGCCCTGCAGGCCAGATCTAAGCACCCTGCAGGCCATATCTTGCCCGCAAGCCTTGAGTTTTGACATCCCTGATTTTACAGGTTCCTTCTCTTGCTCTCCTCAATATTTTGGGATTCTTCGTTCTCTTGGGTGGGCGATACCACCGGCCTCCTCTTTGAGGACAAGTGAGCGTGCTGTTTCTCAATAACGGGGGCAGTGATTGCTTGCTGAGAATGCATGTGGTCTAACCCCGATCATTTTAACAACAGATACGCTGTCAATGCTTCTAGAGATGGGCTCCTTCCTTCAAACCCCAAAAGCTTCTTTGATGGTTATTTGAGCTTAAAGCAAGGGCGTTGCTGGTGGGAATGCTTTGTGTGTGTGCGCACGCATGTGTGTGTTCTGCTCTACAGCTTTCTCTTTGCATGATTCCCTGTGGTCCTAATATGGATGTGATACAGTGGTGGGATTCAAATTTTTTTTACTACCGGTTCTGTGGCTTGGTGGGCGTGGCTTGGTGAGTGTGGCAGGGGAAGGATACTTTAAAATCCCCATTCCTACCCCACTCCTGGGGGAAGGTTACTGCAAGATCCCCCTTCCCTCCCCACCCCACTAACCTGCTTTCCAGCTCTGTTCTCCTGTGCAGGGCAACCAAAGGAGACCCAGCCCATCAGCAGGGACTCAATGGGAGGCAGAGAATAGATGGGGTTGGCGGGGCCAGTCAGAGGTGGGATTTGCCAGTTCTCCGAACTACTCAAAATTTCCACGACCGGTTCTCCAGAACTGGCCAGAACCTGCTGAATATCCACCTTTGATGTGATACTTAATTCCTCCTTAACCTGCAGTTTATGGTCTACACTGAGCAGAGGTAAAAGCGGAAAGAAGAGGGACATGCCAGCTTGGTTAAAAAATGAGGACAGCAACCCTTATGAGTGGTTGTCGACCACTGAAAATCTCCCCTTATAGAATCGGGGCCCTTCTCTGCATTACCAGAATTCATGGGGGTTAAATTTAGGGCTGCCTTATCTTATTCACCGGAATGGGGTAGCCACTGAGGCAACCTATTTGGAAGGCCATGAAAAAGTCAGGTGTAGTGTCTACTTTCATTTACAGGTAGTCCTTGACTTACGACCGCAGTTGGCCAGAATTTCTGTGGCTAATGGAGTCATGCCTGATTTTATGACCATTTTTCACCGTTGTTAAGCCAGCCAGTGCAATTGTTAAGTGAGTCATTGATGGTTGCTTGTCGGAAACCGTCAGGGGAGGTCACAAATGGTGATCACAGGACCCCATAATAATTGTAAAAACATGCCAGTTAGGAGCCGCCTGAATTTTTATCATGTGACCATGGGATGCTGTGATAGTCATAAGTGCGAGGATCGGTCACAAACCACTTTTTTTCAGTGCTGTTTTAACTTCAGACTGTCGTTCAACAAATGTTTGTAAGTCAAGGACTACCGTGCATGGTGTAGCATGGTTGCTGGTGGAAGGAGAGGCTCAGGTGAGAATTTTGTAACTTTGGTAGCTTTGGAGGGTGAAGCCTTTGGAGCCTTGGCTGGTGAAGGCTGATGGGATCTGCAAAACGTTAATGGCCTTTATTTTTTAGTGACAGTTCCACATATTCTTGAGAGAATGATTTGTGGGACGGGTCACTTCCCAACAAGGGCTCTTCTTTTTTTCTATTTTTTAATTATTAAAAAAAATTATTGAACAAAACAATTAAACACATTGAACACGGTGAAGTTGGTTTGGCATAATTTTGGGTCAATATCGCATATATATTCCTATAAACAATTATTCAACTATTTACATATATACATTTGTTCGTTCATATATTACATTTCTAACATCATTAATCTTCTTTTCATCTCATCCAATCATTTACCCTTTCAACAATTCCTTTCCCAACTTTTCCTTCTGCTCCCCCCAGTGATAGAATTTATCCCAAATTGCGTAATATGCCAGTTCATCTTTGTTTTTCATTTCTAGAGTTGACATGTCCATTTCAGCGCATATCAAGATTTTGTTTATTATTCCTTCTTCACTTGGTATAACTTTCCAGTTCTGGGCAACAAGGGCTGGACCAGAACATCTAAAAGAACCTCAAGTTGAGGGAAGGCTATGCCGAGTAAAGAGTAAATGCCAAGGCTGTTGGCACTTTGTTGGTAGCCCAGCTCCTACAAGACAGATCTCTGGAACCCCTTTCCTTACTGCTTAATTTATGCCATCAATTTATGCCAATTTCCAGCCATCATATTTGTAATTTACTTTGATGGTATTGCACAGGAAAATACACCTTTATGTTGTGTACTTGTTTGGAGTAGCCCTGAAAGAACAAAATGTTTGTTCTTCTAAAATGATGTTTGATGAAGCGCAGAAGATGAAGGAATAACTCAAGGAGGGCCTCTTGAAGCCATTGTGTGTGTGTGTATGTGTGTGTGTTCAAAGAAAAATCTGAGGTTGTCCTGAGAGAGACTAGGAAGAAATCCAGACAATCCAGTGAAATGTTGTTAAATTAAAGCTCAAGAGAAAGTGATACTTGAAACCTTTAGAAGTTGAGCTAGGTTTCTAGATGTTGGTAGAACATTCAAGCTCTGGGTTCTGAAACAACTTGGTCCAGGGACATCTGGATCTGATGTTTTTGGCTTGTACGGAGGGATGTGTCCTTGAATGTTGATCTTGTATAGATGGCACAGAAACACTTAGCCACAAAACAGGGCCAAGCGCAATGGAGACACCCAAAGGCCTCCAGAATTGCAATGAGAGAGATTTGTACAAACTTCCTCTGAGCTACTATATTCCTCCCCCTGAAGACACAGGGACGCTATCCCAGTTGCTGTGGAATTGTATTTTGTTAATGTAGGGGAACGTTAATAATATTGCAGTCAGGGGAGTAATTGTATATAACCTGTTGGCCGATGGTTTCAAATTCGGTGAAACCTTGTTTTGTCTTCTTCCAACTAAATACCTGGATTATTGCCTTCTTGGCACGTCACTCAAAGAAAAAGGCTTTGCTGGCTGGGGAATTCTGGGAGTTGATGTCCACCCATCCCAAAGAGGTGGAGTTTGGGAGAAACTGGTCTGCAGGATCCAGAGACGGTCAGCTGTGTTGCTTCTCTGAGAAAGCGCCCTTGAGATGGCTTCCAAAGGCTGGCTTGGTCAGAGGGCTAAGACGGAGGGAGTGCGATGCATGCAACGTGGAGGTGATGTGTTTGTGTGTTGTGCTGCAAATTGTAAAGGATATGGCCCCCTTGCTCTGTCCTTGCTTGCTTCCTGTTTCACTGTGGCTCGCTGGTGTCAGCTTTCCTGACTTAGTTTTCCTGTTGTTTGTTCCACAGCCCGAATAAGAGACTGTCCAGCAAAAAGGTAGCAAGGTAGGACAATGTTTCTTTCCTTCTTTTCTCTTGTTTTGATGTGATCCTGCTTGCCTCATGCAATTTCTTCTCGTGGGGGGCGGCGGAGAGGGAAAGGGATTAATTGTTACTCCAAACTCCAAGGATGTTGTGGGATCGTTTCTTTCTCTGATCGTAAAGATCTCCAAAGCAGAGCCGTTAAGATGGTTGGTTGGATGGTTGGTTTGCAGGTTCCAAGCTTACTTCTTGTGGGTGGGCATCTGCTGACCTGAGCAGGAGGCAGGGGAAGGGTGATTGTCCAGAAATATTTCACAAGAAGAGTTCTCCACTCCTCTACTCGTTGCAGAATACCTTATGCCACCAGACTTGAAATTCTAGACCTAGAAAACCTAGAACTACGCTGCCTCCGGTCCGATCTAAGTATAGTATATAAAATCATACATTGCAATGTCCTACCTGCAAATGAATACTTCAGCTTCAGACATAACAATACAAGAGCAAACAATAGATACAAACTCAAGGTTAACCGCACCAAACTTGATTGCAGGAAATACGACTTCAGCAACAGTGTGGTCAATGTCTGGAATACTCTACCTGACTCTGTGGTTTCTTCCCCAAACCCCCAAAATTTTAACCTTAAACTGTCTACTATTGACCTCACCCCCTTCCTAAAAGATCTGTAGGGGGCGTGCATAAGCGCACCGACGTGCCTACCATGCCTGTCCCATTGTTTCTTTTATTTTTCTTATATGTACCCATTTCATATATTCATAACTATGTATATACTTATACTATTATCTTGTAAGCAATTGACAAATCAAATAAATACTAAATAAATACAAAAATCTGGGGGTAGGGGGTCCCAGTGGGAGCTTTGGCAAACCTGGGAGAGGGAGGACGTAATCTCTGATATCTGAAATCTAGAGAAAAGAAGGACTAGGGGTGACATGGTAGCTGCATTCCAGTATTTGAGGGGCTGCCATAAAGAAGAAGGGTCAACCTACTGCTCAAAGCACCCGAAGCAAGTCAAGAAGCAATAAATGCAAACTAATCAAGGAGAGAAGCAACCTGGAATTAAGGAGAAATTTCCTAGCAGGGAGGACAATGAACCAGTGGAACAGCTTGCCACCAGAAGCTGCGGGTGCTCCATCACTGGAGGTTTTTAAGGAAAGACTGGATAGCTGCTTGTCTGGAATGGTATAGGATCTTCTGCTTGAGCAGGGGGCTGGACTAGATGACCTCTGAGGTCCCTCCCAGCTCTATTCTGATTGATTGAAACCCACCAATTTGGGCTCTAATATTAGAGGTGCCACCTCTGCATCGGTTGCCAATGTGCACCTGTGAGAAATGGCACATCGGGGGGGAATATGCGACTCACTCCTGACCTCATTTTTCATCTAATCGCTGAGTCGGTCTTGGAGATTTGGGGCTCCGTCTCAGAGTTTGTGGGGAAGCAACGGAAGAGAGTGATCCGATACAAAGGACAAGAAACGGGGCAAGTCAGTTTCTCTCACAAACAGTAACTTAGCCCTGGTGGAGCAGCAACCTGGGAAGAAGCTTGGCGGATTATTCCAAGAGGCTCTGCCTTAACTGTAAGCAGCCGAGAAATTCCTCATACATTTTCCAAGAATCTTGTTGTTTAGCATGTGAGAGAGAGAGATCCCTTACTGAAATTCCACTTGTCTTACCTGCTTTGCAGAATTAGGCCATCTTTCCCTCTCCGTTTTGCTACCTGTTGCAAAGGCCGCAGCGAAAGACCGTCAAAATGTCTGTGTGCCTCCTGCCATTATTAAAACGCCATCGGTATAAACTTCCAATACCTTTGCAGCTTCTTAGCCTGTGGAGCACTTTCCCACTATTCCAACTGTTCTGCTGGAAGGCCAGCCCAGATTTGATGTGTGAAATGTCAGGGTTCCAAGTAATAGGCCCATAGAAAGCAATGGGAGGAAGTCCTCAACTTACAACAGTTCATTCAGTGACCATTCAAAAGTTACAACAGCATGGAAAAAAAGTGAACTTATTCCACACTTCATACAGATAATACAGAAAAGGCTAATGATCAAAATTCAGACACTTGGCAACTAACATTGATGACGGTTGCAGCATCCCAAGGTCACGTGATCGTCTTTTATGGCCTCCTGACAAGCAAAAATCAATGGGGAAGCCAGATTCACTTAACAACCGTATTATTAACAAGAATCACAGCAGTTCACTTAACAACGGTGGTGAGAAAGGCTGTAAAATGGGGCAATGTTTATGTCACCAATCTCTCGCAAATCAACAGAGGTGTTGCACTCAATTGTGGTTGTAAATTGAAGACTACCTGTACCAAGCTTGGTTCTTTATCTCAGAATGGCCCGTTGAACACCTGTGGAGTGATAAATTGTATTACTAGTTAGCGGCTGATAAAACGCCTGGCCCAAATGACCTGCCATAAAGTGGCGGACTTTGGACCACAACACCGAAGCTGGGTGACGTGGTAAGAGGTCCAGTTAACTTCCGGTGCTGGTCCCAGGAGAGCTATTTCACTACCTTGCTTCATCTCAAACTACCCCGGTTCCTTTGGGTTTATTGCTTTGGAGTGTGCTGTTCTCCTTGGGTGAAGATGAAAAAGAAGAGACGTACGAAAGCAAGGCCTTGATTACCCCATATTCCAAAGAGCAAGAGGTATAAAAGGGTGAAGTTCTATCGATTGGTTCTTTTGCTCTAGTCTAGAGCGAACCTAAAACAGACCGGATTGATTTCAGAGCTTAGAAAGTCCACCAGAAATCTGGAGGGTCACGGTAGAACGGGAGCCTCCAAGCTATGCAATTGAAATATGATATGATTTCGTTGATGAAAACCTTCACGGGTTACCCGTTGTTTGTTGTGATGGTGGTAGCCTCGTTTTTGTCTGCGTTTCTCCGTCTTGCTTACAGACACCTGCATCAGACGGGAAGCTTCTCGATGGATAATATAGAACAACCTTTCCAGAAGAGTTCTGAGTGCCTGGAGGAGGACATCACTGATAAGGTACATGGGAAGGAGAGTATGTAGGGGTGTGTTTAACTGAATGGAGGACACAAACACGTGTGTGCGCATACACAGGGATGTAGGGAGGGAAGGATCTTATCCGCTCATCCGGTGGCTTTTATTATCCTTGTTATGGTTGGTCACACAGTCAGCCAGATATTCAGACTGAATTTCGCATTTTAATCCACCCGTCAAGTCTTCCCCAAGGGAAAGGCAGACGTTGTTTAAGAATATGAAAGGGCTTGTTGCAGGATGTAAGCTGATCCGAGTCAAGCTGCCTTTCACAATTGACTGATGGGGATTTTGTCAATGCCCGCGGTGCAGGTGATCTTCTTGGAGAAAAGAGTGACAGAGTTGGAAAAGGACACAGCAGCAAACGGGGAGCAGCAGAGCCGGCTAAAACAGGAAAACCTTCAGCTGGTGCACAGGTACACCTTGAGAAAAGAGATCTGTCCGTTTGGAAAGAGCAGGGGGGCAATTTTGTGCTGGGGTTTGGAAGCTGTCCTATTTTGGAGTGGGGCTTCGTTTAAAAAATGCTTGCAGAACAGCCAGAAAACCCAGATTAGAAATTCAGCTTTTTGTGGGAAGGGGGATACAAATTGTTATAAGGATGGTTTCTTCGCACAGCTGCATTTTCAGCTGTACTTTCTCAGTAGGACTTGGGTGGATTAGGCTGCGTGATGACTTAATTATTGCTCAAGGCAAGCAGTAAAAAAAAATGGGGTCAGCCTTTTAAAAAAAACAGACACATTTTCAGAGAGGGAATTGAGAAGAGAACGTTTTCCAATAGAACCGACCGTGTCAAGCGCTGGGGAAATCAGGAGATTCGGGCAATTCAAATGAGCATAAAGATTTATTGCAAGCTTAAGCCCCCCACAAAGAACCTGACCTACTAATGGTCAAGGAAACGGAGTGAGAGATGAGAAAGGCATTCAAGGTGGCCGGACTTAGATCACTTGAGGGGGCGCAGGGTCTCGTGACTTATGATGTGTTTGACCCTTCCCTCAGGCTCAGCCTGGTCACCTACACTACGTGCCCCGGAGTGTAGAAATGTTACAATTTTTCAGCTCTTTTTCGTATTTCACGGGTGGTTTAGTGCACCATAGAGAGGACGGGAAAGCCATCTTCCAGAGAAGGCATACAGCTTTGCCAGATATGGTCTGTTTTTAAGCTCCTCTGTCATTAGAATTGCCAAGGAAGACTGGGATTATCACTGGAGGAAGAGCCTCGTAGCACTTCTTCAGATTAACAGTTTCCCTCGTCCCACTTTAAATCCTGCATCGCTTTAACCCTTCCGTGCAGCTTCATCAGTTCTGTTAGGTATCATACCGGAAAGCTATGATAAAGGGAGTATGTACTTAACGCTGCATGCATTGACAGCAGCAAGAATTGCATTTGCACAATATTGGAAAAATGAGAACATCCCATCCGATGAAAGCATAATTCGGAAAATATTGGATTGTGCAGAGATGGATAGACTGACATTGAAAATAAAAAATAACGGAGATAGAGTATTACTCAATGTGGGATAGGTTTTAATCAATGGTTAGATGTAAGAATTAGAGGTTAGATGAAGAAAGATTATTGTTATGTGCATGTAAAAGATGAATGTTGTCTATGATTATGAGTATGCTAGTATAACGATCATGATTATAAATAAGCTAATATAACTATCAATATTAACAATATAATTACTAAGTATATTATTATCATTATTACTATATCAGTTGCTTTTGGGGTAAAACAAAATGCCTGGACAATACACTGTTTTTAAAATATTTACATATAAATAAAAAATATTATTAAAAAAAAGAAAAGAAATGAGCTGTGGTTCACAAGAGCAGATGCCTTTTAATAGTACCTGTTAATCTGAAAAGGAGCTACCAGACTCCTGATCTGTGGTCCCGCTGACAATTTACTTATTTATTAAAATTGCATGCTGTCCATCTCCCCAAATGCCTTACACTCGTATGCCACCTATATCGGCTCACAAGGTCTGCAAGAAATGCAGGTGCAGCCCTCAAGATTTTGTGGATCTCTTGTTCCCTGGGGTTCGTACGCCCCAGAGCGTGAGTTCTCATGGGACAATAAGTGGCGTTACGTTTGGGAAACCTCTCTTCTTCTGGACAGGGCAAATGCCTTGGAAGAGCAGCTGAAAGAGCAAGAGATGAAATCAGATGAAATCCTTATAGATGAAATCCGGAAACAGAGAGACCTGCTCAGCAGGATGGAACGAGAAAAAAGCATGGAGATTGAAAACCTTCAAGCCCGGTAAGATGGATCCGTCCGGGAAAGCGATGGGGAGTCCCTGGGTTATTGTCGTTTGTGTATCACCTCAGGAGAACATTGCACATCTGATTTCCTGATGCTAATGAAATAATCATGAACGGTGAAGGTTTCTCTCACACGTACGTGCTAGTCGTTTTCTGGCTCTCGGGGGTGGTGCTCAGCTCCATTACAAAGCCGAAGAGCCAGTGCTGTTCAAAGACGTCTCCGTGGTCATGTGGCCAGCATGACTAAACCCCGAAGGCGCACGGAACGCTGTTCCCTTCCCACCAAAGGGGTCCCTATTTTTCTACTTGCATTTTTTATGTGCTTTCAAACTGCTAGGTTGGCAGAACCTGGGACCAGTAACGGGAGCTCACTCTGTGGCGCGGCACTAGGGATTCGAACCACTGAACTGCCGACCTTTCTGATCGACAAGCTCAGCGTCTTAGCCACTGAGCCACCGCATCCCTATAGAAATAATAATTACAGAGATTTTTTAAAAATATTATATCTGCTCAGTGCAGTTGGTGGAACATTTGGTACAGACAGGATGGGGAAAGGGGGTGGATTTCTGCACTCGGTGTATTCCACAATGTTAATTCACTCTTAATTCATGGCTGCCAAATTCTGCACCTGACATACTTAAATTTCTAGCCTGTTAGGAGAATGATTATATTAGATTTGGGCTAGAACATTTTAATTGAACAAAAGAAGAGAAAAACAAGTTTGGTTCGGAAGCACAGTTGCCTTCGCCTCTGTGGGAAGAGTCATTTTTTCCAGAGAAGTCGGCAGTCACACAGAATACGGAAAAAAATCCCAAAAGAATAACAGGAATTGTAGTTTAGGCCATATGAAAAACAGCAAGGAAGAAGTTGGCATCGCTTCCTCTGTTCTGCATTTTTGATGCAAGCTTTTGAATAGTGTTGATTAATTAAGAGTCCATGGCAATAGATGTCTATTTAGCTTGGTGCAAAGTTTTGGTGTTTATGGTTTTGGCAGTTTTAATATAGACTTTATTCATTTATCTGTTTGTTTTATTACAGATATTGTTTTGATTTTCAATTGGTAGCCCCTGAAATTTTGGTATAAGAGGGGCAGCTATATAAATGTCTCAGATAAATAAGATTTCTAATCATGCATTTGGGTTTATGCCAATGCACAGGTTGCATCAATTGGACAATGAAAACGGAGAACTTCGGTCCTGCGTCCCCTGCCTCAAGGCCAATATTGAGAGGCTAGAGGAGGTGAGCACTTTCTTCTTCTAGGCAACTTCTTCCTCCTCCTCCTCCTCCTCCCCCCCACCCCCACTTCAGGTGTTGAGGGACCAGGCAGTTACGTTCCCCCCCTATTACTAAACCCAGGTAAAAGGCAAGCTCTCGCAGCATCCCAGAACATTGTGATGGGGCACTGGGAGTCTTGCAGAATTGAAACCTTCATTGTCTCGCAATAACCAGCAGTATGGTACGAAGCCTGGTGGTTCTTCTCTAGTCCTTCTTGTTGGCCAGAACGGATGGCAGCTGCTTAACGGGAAAGGAGGATTGGAGGACAATTCTATGGCCAACCAGCAAGCTGAGTTTTCTGTTCTCAGTGAGTTCTGTCCTCCACTTAAAAAGCACAGTAGTTTCTGTTCATTGGCCTTGACTACCACGATTTCTTGGTCTAGTTCTGCTGCCGGTAGATAGCAGGTCATAGTCAAGTGGTGAGATTAAGCCTAACTGGTCTTCATGCTTTATCGCCGAGGGACCTGAGCCTTTCTCCCAGGGATGAAGCTGCTAGAAGGTTCCCAGTTCCATTGTCTCCCTTCTTTTCTTTCTTCTAGGAGAAGCAGAAGTTGCTGGACGAAATTGAAGATCTCGCTGTCCAACTCACAGAAGAGCGGGAGAACAAGAGAAAGCTGGGGGAGAAGTTGAACCACGAGAGACATCAGTTCCAGAAAGATAAAGAGTCCAGGCAAGAGGTGAGAAGGTTTCCCGGAAGCTCAAATAGACCATGACACACTTGAGAGGTTAGGAAGGAACTTTGCTATATTGCAAATTTTTGCCCGGTTTTCAAGATCAGGATTTCCTTTGCAGACAAGAAGCTGGAGAAGATGGAAAACAAGGCATGGCTCTCAGCAGGGAAGCCCTACTTCTGGGTGCAGCTCAGGTTAAATTGCAGGAAAGATGGCTTGGAGAGGGTGAAAAGGATCCTCGCCCGGCTGGGACAATCTATGCTTTCTGCTTTTTCTTTTTAACAGCATGAACCTATCCGTGTGAATTGATTGCAAATGCCCATTGGCCTTGATTTTGCTCGCTTGTCTTGCAGCTGATTGAGGACCTCAGGAAACAGCTGGAACACCTGCAGGTCTTCAAGCTAGAAGCCGAGCAGCGGAGAGGCCGGAGCAGCAGCATCGGCCTGCAGGAATACAATAGCCGGACGCGAGAGAATGAACTGGAACAAGAGATCAGACGGCTCAAGCAGGTAGATGAAATCTTAGACGTGGGACGGCGGAGGAAGTTTCTGCTGGCGGTGGCATGGTTGGGGATATCTTAGGGGATGAAGAGAAGCTGTTTGGGGTTATCCAGTCCGTGATCTCTGGGGAAGGAGGTGTAGGCATCAGGTTCAAACAGTGTTTCTCAACCTTACCAACTTTAAGATATGTGGACTTCAACTCCCAGCATTCTCCAGCTAGCATGGGTTGCTGGAGAGGTGGAGCCTAAAGAAGATTCCATGCAGGAGATGACCAGGCTGAGCCTGAGGGAGGGGTCAAACGTGTCATAAGTCAAGAGATCCAAGTCCAGCCAACCTTGAATGCCTCACTTGTCTCCCAATCGTCATTTAGTTAAACTTATAGAGAGCGTAAACTCACAATAAATATTTATATTCACTTGACCTGCCGGAATCTCCTGATTTCCCTGGTGCCTGACACCGCAAGGGCAACGGTCTGTTAAAACAGTCGTGGGGTGAGGACTTGGGGAAAGATTTGAGCAGAGAGAACCTTGGTCGAAAGAGCCCTTGGTGGTTGGCCTCTGTGGAAGGCAGCTTCTCTTGGTCTCCTGGTTAAAGCAGAAACCGATGTAACCATAGGGGAATTTTCTTCGCAAACAGGACAACCGAAACTTGAAGGAGCAGAACGATGAGCTGAATGGGCAGATCATAAACCTCAGTATTCAAGGTGCCAAGAATCTCTTCTCTGCTTCCTTCTCTGAATCTCTGGCTGCGGAAATCAGCTTGGTCTCCAGAGATGAGGTAAATGTGGTGACCTTACAGGGACTGTTTCCCCACAAGCAGTGAAGGGGGAGTTGAGTGAGAGAGGCAATTTAGAGAATCCACACTTTCACATTAGGAAGGGCTACTTTGGTTCTAAGAGACACTTGGAGGATTTCTCTTTATCTTGTTGATAAAACTAAGTATTTACTAGATAACAATCTATCCTTTTTTCTTTAACATCCAACGGAGTTCTCGTAACATTAATTTTGGAAAGTTAGGTGAGCCTACTATGAAGGGATATATTCCATGGATTGCATAAATCCTCCAGACCATTTCATTTTGCTTATAGTTCTGAGAGATTCTGCATGGAGTTCTTTCTAACCCTAGATGTTTTTTTAAACACCATGCTGGGAAAGGCTATCCAAATTTTTAAAACTTATAGACTTCAACTCTCAGAATTCCTTAGCCAGCCATGCTGGCTGGAGAATTCGTGAGTCCAAAAGCTGCTAAGCTTGGAGAGCTAAAATGCTTCAGTGATCTGATGACGTTCAGCTGTATTTCTTCCTGTGTTTCATGAGAACCACTTCAATTCTGAAAGGCTGCTTAGAATCCATAGCAAGGCAAATGAGAGATAGTAGGAAGTTGATTTCCCATCAGGATGGGATTATTTTCTAGGTGTGCTGCTATACAGTCCTGGAAACGGCTGCTTTAATGAGATAGGTGTCCTCTTCTACAAGGAATCCACCACATTGCTTAGCTCTGTTGGGGTCTGTGACAGTTGGCTGCGGCCAACTCACCATGGACGCTGCAGGACAAGAGTTACCCTCATATCAAAGAAATGGTGGAATAGAATCATTAAAGTATGCCAAAGGAGGGACAGAATGAAATGTGAATGACAAAAATTAGTTTAAAAAAATATTTTAAATAATTAAATCAGATTGTTAAATTGTCCCATAGCAAGTTGTCCTGAAGCGAGTTGGTCTTGGTGATTTGTCCCATTCTGTTTTGTTGTATTTCCAGGAATGCAGCCTGAGGAATGCTTCTGACTAGGAGCTCACTGCATCAGCTGCAGTGGGTCCTGGGGCCTTAGAAAACCAGACCGCCCCATTGGAGATGCCTTGATAATTCCCCCATAAATACTTCACTTCAAAGACTCAATAAATCCCAGCCAGTGACCCCATTTATTGCTTGGCATTAGCTATCCCTGCACTAAGAACATAGTAGAACGGTCTTCCAGTAATAAAGTTTGAGCCTTATACCAGTTAACTAAATGGATAAAGAGGAACAGAACTATTATGTATCACGATTTAATTAATATAGCAGAATATAAAATACAAAGGAAAATAAAACTAATGGGAGCTAGGGGAGGGGGAAAGGGGAAAAAAAGAAAGTGTGAGGTAGAAATGGAAAAAGAAAAGCGGTGACTGGTATTTTGTGGCGGTGCAGTGGTTAGAGTTCAACATTGCCCACTGCCAGAAGTTCAAATCCCATCAGGCTAAAAGGTTGACTCAGCCTTCCCTCCTTCCGAGGTGGGTAAAATGAGGACCCAGATTGTTGGGGGCAAGAGGCCGATTCTATAAACCGCTTAGAGAGGGCTGTAAAAAGGACCGTGAAGTGATATATAAATCTAGGTGCTATTGCTTAGTCTTTGCTAATCTCACTGCATATTTTAGCTATCCGGCTACGCATTCATCCTTCCTGATCTTTCAACCTTTTATATGTCCCCACTTTGGTTTTCAGAATTTCATTTAACATTTTTGTAAAATTGGGGGGAAAATAAAAAAAAATAAGCTTGATTCTTTTCCTCTCCAGCTGATGGAGGCAATCCAGAAGCAAGAAGAGATCAACTTCCGACTCCAAGACTACATTGACCGAATCATTGTGGCCATCATGGAAACCAACCCATCCATCCTGGAAGTCAAGTAGGAGACTTAAGAGTTGAGAGCGACATAAACCGAGTGTCATGTGGGTGTGGCGGATTGGCTACTTGGAAGAAAGAAATACTGGCCAAGTCTTCACTCTATGGAGAAGGCACAGGAAGCCTCATGTTGGAGTGGTTGGGTGGCAGATTGCAGTGAACTTGGGGTGGAGAAGAGAGAGAGAGAGAAAGAGAGAGAGAGAGAGGACCAGCCATTAAGTAAGGCCGTCCTGATTCTAATGGGTTCTGGAACCCTCTGGCTTGTGGGAACAGGGCTGGGGGTGGCGAAAAGGATTTGGAAAAAAGAAAGTCACAGAAACAAGGGGTGAGGGTGGGGGTGAACGTACACACCTGCCCTCTTTTGCAGGAATGGAGCAGAATCTGGGTGGCCCCTTGAAATAGCCTTCTTGGAAACCACTCTTGTCCACAAGCAACAGAAGCAGGCTTGTGCTGCACGGGAGGGAGCTGGATCCCTCGGCACCTGGAAGTTGTAGCACAGCAGTCAAAGGAAGACTCTCTCAGGTGCCTTCCTGGACCTGCCTTCCCTGCCTCTCTGGTTTAAGCATCTCTCCTTGATCATCAGCCCTCCGATCGCCCTCCTTTTTGAAGCTGCCTGGGTTGTTTGGCCAGTGGAAAGGAAAACTCCATCTGGGGTCTGTGTCTCTTGCGCCGTTTCTCACAAGGCACAGCGTGTTTCGGAGCCCCTGTTTTTTGGGGGGGCCGTCTGCCTTAAAACTCAGGAGTTGCAGGTGCTCCAGGGAACGGAGCCTTCTGCAGAAAGGTGGGCTGATGTAAAAGAAAAAAAAAAAGGAGATCCAAACCAGGCGTAGTCTTCTGGGTGATCGGGTGGGTGGCTGACCTGGTCAATGAAGTTGGTTGTTCGGGGGCCGGCTGGCGATGGCTGTGCTGAAGGAGGAGGAGGAGGAAGCTCAGCTGATGATAACTGAATGTGGAAGCAGAGCGAATCCTTTATCCCTCTTTGCCGCAACGGTTCCTTCCATGCTTCACCTCACACCCTTTTTCGTTTGGTGTTTTTCACTAGTTAAACCACTTTAAGGCAAGAATGGCAACAGATGTGTCGGTTCCGTAATAAAAACGGGGAAGGAGGGAAGGGGAGACATCACAGACCGGAAGGACTGAGTTGTTCTCTTTGCTGGCACCCAACACATCACATTGCTTAGAAGGACCTGTTCAAACTCTAGTAGGACGTTGAATTATTCCTTTGGCTTTGCATCTAGTCCTTTGGGAAGGTGCCGAAACAGATATTGCAGAAAACTCCTCTGCTCTTCTCCCTTCTCCTTGGGTCGAAGTAGATTTGTATTATCGATGGGAGTCTGATAAACAAGCCATTGGGGACAAGTCAACTTTCCCTCCAACATAAATTTTAGGGGAGAAGATGAATTTTGCCCGTACCTAGAAAGCAGGCTATTTCCCCTGGAAAAAAAAAGAAAAAAAATTCAATGTGTTTTAAATCTGCCTTTTGAGATGTGTGTTTTAAAAGAGGCTTGCTTCTTGGTGTTCTTTATTTTTTTTTTAAATGCCACTATTTGGAATTTGAAAGTAGCATCTTATACCTCTCACGAGCGAATCCTGCTTCACTGATGCTTTATTTTAGAGAGAACCTTCAGGAACCCACAGAGGGTGAGGTTGTACATTTCTACACATGCCTTCTCTGTATCTCCACCACTGTCCACCTCTCTAAGGCACACACAGAACAGTTGTGCAACTTGGGCACACAAGGCATGGGGCAACCAGACTAGTGTCTGTGTGACCCACATATGCAGATCATTTTCCTGGGGTGCAAGACATTGCGCCGAGAGTTGGTATATGCTCATCATCAAGCCATTCGAGCTTTTGAATCCCTTCATGTATGGTGAAAGCGACATGATGCTAGTTTGAAAATGCTAGTTCCAGGCTTTTGCTTTCTCACGTCGACCCAACTGTTGGGCCACTGGAATACTTTGCAATTCCTTGAACCAGGACACTGGAATTAAAAAAACAACAACAGTAGATTTCCCCTATTAATGGTTTTCAACTGGCTTGAACGTGGAGGTGAAATGGTCAGAGAAACGCAGAAATGGTGTTCCACTGGAGAGTGATTCTCAAACCCCAAACATTCTTACATACTTACTAATGTCCTGTATTTCTCTGTGCCCCAGAAAAAAAAGTCTGCAGGAAGAATCCACATACTGTACATTTCCAGAAGAAACTTTGGGTGTAAATCAGTGTATACTTGGGGAGAAAGATTTTCTTTTTCTTTTTCTACCTTGTAGAGTTAGGTATTTTTTATAGAATGGAGCCGATCAATTTTTAATACTTCAGAGAGCAATGTATCTGTGGAAACACACAAATCTATATATATATATATGTATGTATTGTATAATGTACAAATCTATAAATAATAAATACTAGCTGACTCTTGTCTAATTAAAAGCTGTTACTATCTCTGGCTGGAGAACTAGCTGGTTTGGCCTTTTTCTTCTAACATCCAGGGGTGGTGGACATCTTTGTCACAAAGGAGATCTTGGTGCAACTGTCAAAATTGCCTTCCACCCAAAATGGGATTTGTTAGCCCTCGTGCCCAAATTCAAATCAGATTCTATGCCATGGGGCTGTACTCAGAAGTAACCTGTCCACTCTGCCTGTTATTTGCAATGTTCATTTATTTCTGCTCTCTGCCAGGCTGTTCTCTGACTGTGGTATTGAGAAGAGTGCAAGGTTCAAACAAGCTTTGCTTTTGGCCACTAAGTGAAACCTGACTTGGACTGCAGTTGGCACTGACTATATGGACTGGAGATTCAGTAAATAAGTAGTAACCTACTGGTGCTTATTGTGACATTGAAGTTAATGGAAGAAGGCACCTTCTCAAAGTTGAACATAAAACATCGTCAGAGTTGGAAGAGACCTTGGTAGGTCATCTAGTCCAACCACCTGCTCAAGCAGCAGACCCCATATACCATTCCAGACAAGTGGCTTTCCAGACTCCACTGATGGGGTATCCACAATTCCTGAAGGCAAGCTTTCCACTGGTTAAATGTTCTATTTGTCAGGAAATTTGTCCTTAATTCTAGGTTGCTTCCCTCCTCGATTAGTTTCCATCCATTGCTGCTGCTTGCCCTGCCTTCGGGTGCTTTGGAAAATAGGCTGACCCCACTGTTCTTTGCGGCAGCCCTTCAAATATTGAATTATGACCATTTTTCACACTTGCAGCATTCTGATAGTCCCATGATTTACATTCGGATCCTTGACATCTATCATTTATGACAGTTGCAGTGCCCCGGAGTCCTGTGTTCATCTTTTGCAAAATTCTGACAAAACCAGTAAGGAACCCAGATTCACTTAACAGCCGAGTTACTAACTTATCAACTGCAGTGCTTAACAACTGTGGCAAGGAAGGCCATAAAATGGGGGAAAATCTCAAATGAACAAATGTCTCACTTAATTTTGGGCTCAGTTGTGGCTGTAAGTCCAGGACTAAGTGAGCACCCCTGCATTTTCATTGTTTTTGACTTTTGGAGGGTTACCTGACACAATATCAGTGAGCATGAAGGTAAGCTATGTGGAATCTAGGTGTATCCAATGAAGCATGTGAATGAGAAGACGAGAGGCAACTGGTTAACAGGCAGTGGGAGGAAATGACCCCCACTAGGCTCATGATGTGCACTTATGCTTTTGGGTCAGGCAGAGCAGAGAAGAAACCAGCTCGAGTTGTAGCAATACTTAAGTCTTTATGGCTAGGGGAATTCTGGGAGTTGAAGTCCACTCATTTCAAAACAGCCACGGTTAGGAAACACTGAACTAGAAGATTGTGGTTGTTCCCTGATATGGGGGGGGTGGTTAGAATCATTGCAGTGATGGTGAATTGTACCAATTATAATTGAAGTTCTTTTGACCTTGGAGAGTGAGGATCATTTCTCTGGTTTGGCACAAGGTGGCATCAAATCATTGCTGGAACTTGCAATGCGTTATTTTTCTCCCTTAAGGAATGGACAGTTTCCCCCTTGCAAAACAAAAAAGCTGGATTTTAGCGATGTCGGTTCCAATTCACCAAGAGTCAAACGTGCTCTTTGGTACATGATCTGCCTTTAAAAAATTTTTTTTTACCTACAATAAAGCTTCAGCTGCCAGAACTGGACTGCAGAAACCCAAAGGATCACCATTTGGCAGCAAAGAGGAATTCTAATACCCTTTTACTGCCATATAATGATCTTGCAGGGTTTTACAGACTAGGCACCGGTGAACTTTAACTTAATCTAGTGTGCTGCAAGTGTGTTGAGCTGTAATTTCCAGAGTTCTGAAGCAACACAGGTACGGATAGCATTGGCTATAAATCCATTGCAATCCTAACGTTTTTGGTGACTACCAAGTTGCAGAAAGCAGCTTTGCAAAGTAAGAGTTTAGGAGGAGCTATTTTTTTTTTCTTCTGTAGCTAATTTCATAAGCGGGCTGATCACCAAAGCACCGTGTGTGTGTGTGTGTGTGAATTCTGTGATTTTGACCTCCACTCAAAAATGAAAATTTTCACTCAGTAATAAATGAACCACTTTGTTATTCTAGCATCATTTTATATTTGGTGTGGTTAACTTGTTAATCGCAATCACCTTCAAATCAAGGCTACAATGCCTCAAATAATTTTACAGTAAATTGTTCCATTAAAACAGCAAATTAGAATACAAAACCTGGAAAAGAAAAGCGTTCAGTAGATGGCAGCAGTGAAGCCTTATTTTATCTTACTTTACAGTAGCAAAATTAAGATAAATAGGAACAGACTTTGTCCTCATCCCCTTGTAAGAAAGAGTCAAGATGAAGGTCCGGCAGAAAATGATAGAGTATAATATGATCAGGGTTTAATATCATTTATTATGATCTGAGTGTTTTTTTAATTGAGGAAGCAGACTTTCTGAGGACATGGTCTGTATTACTTCTCTTAGAAACTTATACAGGTAGTCCTTGACTTACAACAGTTGGTTTAGTGACAAGTTACAACAGCACTGAAAAAAGTGACATATCCTTTCCCGCACTTATGATGGTTGCAGCATCCCCATGGTCACATGTTCAAATTTCGGATGCCTGGCAACTCTTATTTATGACGGTTGCAGTGTTCCGGGGTCATGTGATCACCTTTTGTGACAAGCAAAATCAATGGGGAAGCCAGATTCACTTTACAACCATGTTACTAATTTAAGAAATGCAGTGATTCACTTAACAATTGGGGCAAGAAAAGTCATAAAATGGGGGCAAAATTCAACAACGCTTAGCAACAAAAAATTTGGGCTGGATTGTGGCCATAAGTCAAGGACAACCTGTGGTACTACAACTCTTGTCTCCCTAACCTTTCACTGGGCACACCAGTGCATCCTAGGGCAGCAGTTTTGGAACCAAGGTATCTCAAACAGGTTACCGTATTTATCGGCGTATAACACGCACAGGCGTATAACACGCATTCCCTTTAAGAGGGAAATTTCAGGAAAAAAATATGCGGCGGGCGCAGCGCTGACATCACGTCACGATGCTGCGCCGCCGCTAGGCACTATTGGGAACGGGATCCCTTAAAGAGGATTCCGCTCCCTGGACATCGGCGTATAACACGCATACATCATTTGCCCCCTATTTTCAGGGGGAAAAAGTGCGTGTTATACGCCGATAAATACGGTAACTTGCAGAATGTGTCCAACACCAGGGACCCATGATTCCTGTGGAACTGAAATTTGGCAAATTTTATAAAACATTTCATAACATAAAAATCATAAAGTGCTTTATGACATAGCACAAAATGTCATGAAATATTTCCTGCTATCAAGTCCTGATGCTTGACTCTGCTGTACAGTTCAGCTTTCAAGGCAGGTACACCTCTGAATATTATTACCCTGAGTTAACTCTGGGCAGGCCCTAAAGATTAAAATATATACATCTAGGTCTCTGTCTCTAGCTTTGGGACCTGCCCAGAGTTATTTGAAAGATGAGCGAGTAAGCTCTGCAGTTGTTGAAGGCTTTGGGGAAATCTGTTAAAAAATAAATATCTCTGAAACGGTGACTCAGTGAATCACAGTTTAGTGTATTATTTCTAGAAGAGTCGTGGACAAAGCATTGCCTCTTTCCATCTCATGCCACAGAAGTGAGTTTTAAGGACAGTTGGGTTGTTCTAAGAGAAGACATCTCCGAACTTGGTCATTTTAAGACTTGTAGACTTCAACTCCCAGAATTCCCCATGCTGGCTGGGCAATTCTGGGAATTGAAGTCCGCGTGTCTTAAAGCTGCCAAGTTTGGAGATTCCTGCTCTAGAGTGAGGGGGAAATCTCAGCACTGGTGCCCACCCAAGTACAGCTTCTGTGTAGACAAGAGCCTTGCTTCTTTAGCAGGAATAGTGGAGAAACTCAGTTCCGGCTTTGGCTATTTTAATTGGGAAAGACAGGAGGTAATTTGCAACACTTCCTTTAAAAAAAAAAAAAAACTTCAGGTTTGCCTGGCTGACTTCCAATTAATTCCTGGCCTCTAGTAGGAACCAAGCTTTGGTGTTGACCGCTGCACTTCATTAGAACTTGGATTTTTCTTGAACGCAAACCTGGTACTTATGAGGAAATTGAGCTGTCCAAGGTTGCATCGAGAATGAGAGATGACAAGGGGAAGACAAAACTCTGATGCCAGCATGGGTTTTGAGCCTGCCTCATTAACTCTGAAAATTAGAGAAATCACAGTCCTTTCCTCGGAGGGCAACCGTTATTCTTTTTTTCTTCAAAAGATTGGGGTGCAAGGATTTCCACCAAGATAGAATTTCATACCTGTGACTTCTTCTGATCTTCTGTCCAGATGTACTGACTTTCAGCTGAAATATTTATGTCGCTCTACCTTTCATTTTGGAGGGAAGTTTTTTTTTTTGAATGGCAAATGCTAGGAATGTTAGCTCTGATTCTTTGCGCCTTTTAAATGAAAAATCAAACGGTTGACTACCAAACGGACCGCATGCGAAGATCTGTTGATAGAGCAGGATTTTGGTTTCATTTTTGGGGGGGGGGAGGGGGGCTGGGATTCTCCACCTTGAACTCCTAGTAATTATTATTATTGACAACTCTGCCCCTGATTACTTGTATGACATTTAGAATTGCATTCATCCTCCACTGACTCTCAAAGTTAATATATTCCTATAGTGAAGTGTTGCAGTTACTGGAGGAAACTTATCAAAGGCTATATCTATTTCTAGCTAATTAAGATTGGAAAATAAAAGTTCAAATTTCAAGTGGAAATGAAAACTTTTTTAAAAAAGTGCTAGGATAGACACTGGGATTTGGTTCTCAGTGAAAAACATTACTGTAATTTGCATTTAGTTTCTTTGAAGTTAGATTTCCAAGACATGGTAGATGGATAATAGTTTTGAACTTTTAAGTGTGGTTTTTCAAGTTATTTTTGCAGAATATTTGCCACTGTTAATTTATGGGACTTCAAGTTAACAAAATCCAA